CCCCAAAACCCCAAAACCCCAAAACCCCATTTGATGCCTGTATACTTGAATCGTCAATTCAATTAGCTAAATATAAAAATGCTTAAAGTCTATCAATTAGTATCATTAACTCAACATAAAGATTTATAAATTCTAATTATTAGTTATTTCATATCAATAAAGTTAGTTTCTCAAGTTTATACTTGATTTATATTTTGTCCACTTTATACAGAGGTTTCTTATTATGCTAGTAGTTCATTTATATTAAGATTCTTACTCGACCTGACAAGATGAGTAGACTTTTCGTCTCTGCAACATTGAATTATTCGATAACGGTTTGAATTTAAGCTAACTTAACCTCTTAGAATTTTTACTAAGGGATGATAGTGTCCCAGAGGATTAGACATCTTCTCTATGAATACCCTCTTTCTCTAAGAAAGCCAGTATTCTCGATTCCGCCTCTTCAAAATCAAACCTCTATACAGGCATGCTATCAAACTTTTTCTTCAAAATTTGTCGTTCATGATTGATTGTTGAAATCTTATTATCGGCTTCGCTTCTAAAGATAGTTAGTTTCAATTCTGTGATAGAATTATGCTTATTTGTGAAGCAGTCATTCCCTCCAGGAAATAGGACTTTAGGACTCATGAAATAATTTGATAATGAGGAGCTCATGTCGCCATCATTCTCTGTTTTTTTGCTTTCTTCTTGAAAACAAATGTAATCCTGATCATTCCTAGCTTTATTCTCTGATTCTAAGAGTATTTCGTTGTTTTCATCTTCGATACCTGAAGAGTTTATTGGTTGAATGATTCTAAAAGAATTGAATTTTTATAGGCTTATGATTTAAGGGCTATCTTCTTCACTTTCATTCAATAACTCATCTAATCTATCCATTACTGAAGTCTTTTTTCCAGAAAGATTAGTATTAATTGTTGGTTTTTCTACCCCAAATGCAGAGTGTTATTTGCTGAATTGCATTCCTATAAATTAACTTTTTATTATTTAGTAGCTTTAGTCTTAAAAGTCTTAATCAATAACCAAGAACTTTTAATCTCATATTTAATTTGGTTGCATCATCAATTATTTTAACTTAATGGGGTTTTGGGGTTTTGGGGTTTTGGGGAGATCGGAAGAGCACACGT